ACCCGGACCCGGGGCCCGGCGCCTCTTTCCTTTCCGTTGGCAAAGTTGCACCGGGACCCGCGGCCTCTGGGCCGGAGGACGCCCGGGGCCCGTGGGCCCGACGGCCGAGCTTTTGTCTGGGTGCCGCGCGCCCGCCGTGGGCAGACGGAGACAGGAAGGGGTGCGAGCCGCGGCCAGCGCGGGGAATCCGGAACCCCAGCGAGTCCGCTGCGCGCGGCGGCGGGAGGAAGCCGTGACCCCAGATGGCAGTATTTGGCCTCGGGTGGATTCAGGAGGGAAAGCGACCTCTCTTGGGACCCGGGGGGGCCAGAAATGTGTGTATAAAACAAAGCCCTGGGTGTGTTTACGGCATGAATTCACTCTGGGAAGCTTCGTGTCTAGGAAGCGGGGGAAGAAAGTTGAGGTTTTACGAAGTATAATCTGCACAATATTTGAAACAGGGCACAGGCTAGGTACACTCGTCCAGGGAATTAAGCAGCGGACGGGTTGCGTTATCCTGTGGGCATGGGGCTAGGCGAATAAGATGCTTATTTATAATCCGGGGTGCATTTCCTCAGTGGAATAAAGATGTTTTGGAATGTCCAGGCCGAGATGTAGGAACGTCTTTTTCCTTCCATTAGGCGTGATTGAGGAAGTACTATATATGCTGCGCTTAAATCGTATCACACGTATTTTTCGGTGGTTTTATTTAACAGAGACAAAGTTAAAATTGTGTTGCTTTCTCAGTTTTGGTGGACATTTCTCAGCCACGTGTACATCATGAGGTGTTCCCGAATCTCACTGGTTTTATGGATTGGCTTAACCCAGAGACAACCAAGTGGTTTTGGCTTGGAACTTTTATCAAGTCGAGAGCACAGTATGTGAATGGTTCTCAATTCTTGCTACTTAGTTCACACCTCAACTCTTGGTTTGAAATTTTCACTTCATTTGGGTGTACCTAAATCCCTGCCAGCAGTTTACCATTTCTGTGGTATCTGGTCCTTAATAAGACACTTGTATTCGGTGTTGACAGCACTTTGATAGTTCAGGATTGAGGTTCCTGTTACCTGTTTTGTTTTGTTTTGTTAATTAGGCCACACCCTATGGCCTATGGTAGATACAGTCTTTGACACTGCATGAGACAAGACTTTGTGTGTCTCTAGGCTTAAAACCATTCTTTCAGGTCCTGCCACTCCTGAGAGAGACTTCCATCAGGAGAGGACCTGTACTCCCTGCAGCCAGATTTTTTTTCCTCCTCCTCCTGTCAGTTAGCCTGGTTGTGGCACTTCTGGAGGTGTTAACAGCAGAAGTTCTGGAGGTTGTGATACTCACTTTAAGATGACTTTCTCCACTCAGGTGCATTGAAGGAGTGGACATCTAAGCCAGATCAGTGGGCAGCAGGTTTTTCCTACAGTTCCAACAGAGAAGACAGTTGTCAGCTAAAGTAACCTGCATTTAGGGACACTCCAGGCTGTGGCTCACTGCCGCCAGCCTCCCCCCACCCTTTCCTCACCAGTTGTCTCAGCCCTGGGATTTCTTGGGCCTGAGAAGAGTGGCTTCCTCTAAGGACCTCGAAGGCGTTTGTGTCTTCCAAATGAGAGCCAGAGTCTCCGGAGTCTTTAGTTCACAGGCTCTAGACCCCTCTCTTCTCTAAGTCTCCTTCAGGGAGGGCTCGGGAGGTGTGACTCCCCCTGTCTGCACCCGACCCTGCCAGAATGGATTTGACACCAAAGGAGAGGCCCTTTAACAGGGAAGAGGGTGGAAGGCCGGGAGTGTGGGCTTGCAGGTATACTTGCCCACCTGCTGCATGGAACGACCCAGTGGCGGCCCTGCTGGGAAGTCACTGTTGCCCAGTCCATCCCTGCAGCTGCGACTAGCCGCTCGCTCCCACCCCCATCAGAATTTTGCCTTCTCCACCTTAAAAGTCTGTGCACTTCTATCCGTACCCGAGGCTGGTGTCCAGCCCTGGACAGCATTGGGCTTCCTTCAGCCTGTTCTTCTGGGCTGGCCTGTCTGCCTGACACCTTCCCACAGCAGCTTGGGTTTCCCCTGCTCCCGAGGTTGCAGCCTGTGGGACTGGAGCAAGGGGGTGATGGGGGGTGGGAGGAGATGCCTTGCATGCTCTGTGCCGGTGCTCACTCTTAGCTGGGCCTTCTCCCATGGGCTTCATTTGCTTTTCCAGTGCAGAATGTGTCGGAAAATTCTTCAGCTCTGCTTTTCAGTTTGAGGAGATGCCCCTTAAAGAAGGGCTGTTAGAAGAATTCTTGTTCCATCTTGTTTTTTTAACCCCTGAAGTGAAAATAGATTTATTCTCTTTTTTCCCTATAAAAACGATTATTGCTTATTTAAAATAATAAAAATAGGGGCCAGCACGGTGGTGCAAGCGGTTAAGTGTGCGCGCTCCACTGCGGACGTCCAGGGTTCGCTGGTTTGGATCCCGGGCGTGCACCGACGCACCGCTTGTCAGGCCATGCTGTGGCGTCCCATATAAAGTGGAGGAAGATGGGCACGGATGTTAGCTCAGGGCTGATCTTCCTCACAAAAAAATAATAATAATAATAAAAATAATAATTAGGAAATTATGAAGAAAATCTTTTGGAAATTTATGCAGCCCTAACCACTGTGTTACTCATTATAGCTTCTTACATAGTGAAATTTTAAGACAGGGATCCCTCACCCTTCCGGAAATTATATGCAAAAGTTTTGTGATTTTGTGCCTGAATGCATTTTTCTGAGGAAAAGGTCCTTAGCCTTCTTCAGATTCTCCAGAGGTCCTGCTGCCCCCTGGGTTTCTGGAGCTCTTGTGTTTTTATTCTCTTACTCCTTACTCTCAGTATATAAACAGACTGAACCCCTCCCTGGAGTCTACAGGTGTGTCCTAAGGGGCCTGTGATGCTGCTAAAATCCAGCTTTTCCTGGGATGTCCATTATGCTTGAAGATTTGGAAACAGACATAATGTTGAAATAAATCTGTTATGCAGTAGAATGCAACAGTAGCATGACAGAGGAGTTCAACACTGTTAGGGGGCAATAGCCACCCCTTGGGCTAAGTGTCAGTGTGCTGCTGTTAGGGTAGTTTGGTGGGAAACATAGAACTGTCGTTTTTTTTTTTTTTTTTAATTTTATTTATTTTTTCCCCCAAAGCCCAGGTAGATAGTTGTATGTCATAGCTGCACGTTCTTCTAGTTGCTGTATGTGGGACGCGGCCTCAGCATGGCTGGAGAAGCAGTGCGTCGGTGCGCGCCCGGGATCCGAACCCGGGCCACCAGCAGCGGAGCGTGCGCACCTAACCGCTAAGCCACGGGGCCGGCCCTAGAACTGTCTTAATAGTAAAAACACAGCCACGTTTTACTGTTTTTCTCACTGGCTCCTCTTGACAGTTGAAACTCGAGCCTGCTCCCTTCTTGGACTCTTCTCTGTCTCTGCGGGGCCGCGACCTCCTGCTGCTATTCCTGCCTTTCTGGCTGTGCCTCGGCAGCTTGCTGTTTCTCACCTGGCCCTCAGATGTTTTTCTTCTTGAAGGTGCTGTCCAGAGCCCTCTTTTCACTCTGCCCATTCTCCCTGGACAACCTCATGGACTTAACTAGTCTAACACTGTGTGATGCTGATTCCCAGTTGTGTATCTCAGCTCTGGTCCCTCCTGCCTGCTCCACCTTCCCTGGATGTCCCGTGGGTCCCTCAGCTTCCACGTGTCCGTGGTGGAGTCACTGTTCTCTCCCCTCTCCTAAGTCCCTTGTTCCGTTGCTCAAGCCAGAAACCTCTGAGTCTTCTAGGACTCTTCCCACCTGTGTACCCCATGTTTAGTCAGCCTCCCGGGTCTTCTAAAACCAGATCTGCTTCTAAAATGTCTCCTGAATCATCTCCTCCACGTCTATGGCTTCTGTTCACGCCTTCATAATCTTCGGCCTGGACTGCTGTAGTATCTTCAGCTCATCTCCCTGCCTTTCATCTTGCCCACTGCCCGGAAGACAGTCACTCTGCACACTGTGGCCAGAATACAGTCGTGTTGCTGCTGCATGTCAGGTCCTGAACTGATCTTACAGCGGCCAGCATTT